CAGTAAGTCGGGTGTCACTGAATCATTCTGCAATTATTTTTCTTGACAGTTTGATGGAGGCTTTGTACATAATAAATATTTAGTGACTTCTTAAACTTTTTATTTGATTATATTATCACTCTACTTAATTGAGAGACTTAACTACTAAAAGGCCACCCAGCACTTTCTGGACTCAGAGTAGCTGTAACTTTTTGAGCAGAAACCACAACCCTGGACTAGGCCATCCATCTGCTTTACAAAACTTTCCCACCTTCCTCCAGTTCTTGCTGTCATAAATCTGCAGCCGCTCACTACTGAGAGCCTAGCTGTTTCCAGCTGCTGTTCCGAGTGTCATTAATAAGAAGAAATCTGAGAGTGATTAAAATATATTTCACCAAAACTCAGTCTTTACTTTGCAAGCTTTTCTTGGACTTTATGCTTTCCGTAGTAGCTTATGCTTCCACTGCGGACCTAATTTTTCTTTTACAGAGTATACGGGTGTGGGTGCATAAGTTGGTAGCGAGATGGGATCCTGCCGCCTCCAGAAGCCAGCCAAGAATAGCCACACGTAATGAAGTCCATTTCTGCCAGTTTTAAGGTGTCTCTTCATGATATCCCTAGGCCTGGAATCAAAAGCAAAATGCAGCCAAAACTTATTTGAATGTTTAAAAATTACCACTCATAAAAATGAAGTCACTGTAGAGCTTACAGTAAAATCCTGCCCTTATTGAAGTCAATAGCGGTTCTGTCACCAAATTCAGCAGAAATGAGTTTTGGGCCTAAGCCATCATAAAATGAAGCTAACCCCAGACAAAAATGCCAAAAAAAAAGTCATTCACAATCACTACACACTCCCCAGAAGAGAATAAGTTGTTCTCCACTTCAACAAGTTGTAATTTTGTGGTAATTTCGCCCCTCATCCAGTTTTGCATTCCCAGGCTACACACGAGGGCTGGAGTCTCCCCTGGGGCACCAGTGCCTCGCTCGCAGGAGCTACCCTGGAGGCGCACCGTGAGCTGCAGTCCCTATTTGTTACCCCTGGGGTCACGGCGTTCAAAATGGAGCGCAGGGCCAGTCGTCACCCGATGCAAGCTGACAGCTCGCTACTCACAACAGCAGAGATACGCTGCCTGACAACAGCCAAGGGGCTGGCTGCGTCGACACACTCACGGCCACTGATTGATGCCAAGCCACCAGCACCGAGGGCATGCACTTTCCAGAAGAGGGCGTTTATACTCTGCTCCTGCCTCCTACCGCAAAAATAAAGTGATCCAACACAAACATGGGATGGGAAGGCTGCAGTGCAAACCCTTAGATCACGTTTTGCTGGAGATTAAAAGCACATTGCAAATGTTTGTTGCCACATGTCGCAGTCTGCATGCAACTAGAAGAGAGATAGAAACTGTTGTAGCTTAAAATTGAGAGCACCTTGCGGCACCGCAAAGATCTGCCTATTTTGCTACCCTTTGTTGGGAAGCATCAAAGGCAGAATTTGCAAACTGCTGCAGAGGTTTCTTTTGCTTTTTGGTTTTTGGCTCCTAAAGTGCAAAGGCTCCTGCTTTGATGGATGCGATTCTGCAGGAATACAGAATATGCTTCCCTAAGATGGCTACAGAATACACAAGAAGCAAATGCAGTAACCAAATCTTTATAAACGCCCTGATCCTTCCTACAATACCATATTTATGTTTTAGTGGAAAAAAGAATCAGGTTCTGGCCCTCCAATTGCCAGTCTTGGAGCATAAAGACATTGTTTGTTTGTTTAAAAAAAAAAAAAAAAAGTGTTTTCCCCAGTCCCATTGAACTGGGGATTTCAAATACTGCTCTTCCTCCTCCGTGACACAACTTCCACTGCAACTCTTGGGCTGTGCCAGGCGTAGTGCGTGGCGGGGTATTAGATTACCACCGACGCCTTTGAATGCTGCACGGATTTGCTTTCTTGAATTAGAGGAACAGCGTTCTGCCGTGTCTTTTTGAAATGACTCGTCACGGCCCTCAGCATTCCCAGGACTTCTTCACCTGTTTGCAGACCCACAAACCATTTCAGCTAGCATTCCAGCTGCCAGTTTAGGCTTGTGTTGTTGGAGCCTCAAAACAGTTTTGTGTCTTCATTCAGAAGAGTAGCAAAAAATAAACGGCCCGTAGAAGTCACCAGGACTAGGCCAAGGCAGTCACGATGCCAGCCTCCTTCCGGGATTCCTCACACATCCTACTTACCCTCCACCAGCTCCACATATCACACCCACCTTCGACTGGCAACCGTATTTCCATGTTAGCTCAGTTCTGATCTAAAAATAGGAAGGTAAGAAAAAATAAAATAGAACAGTGGGGGTGGGGGGAAGCCAAGTGCACATGCATCAGCCCCAAAACGGCTTGGTTCAAAATTAAACTCTCTTATGGACATGAAATGGTATTTTTTGTATACTTAAGAAACCCCAAATCCACTTTTGTTCTGCTCTATTTTTAAAACCTTCTTAACCAAAATAGGACAAAACAAAATGCCAGTCCTCACTTCCTTTAGAGAGGAAATGTTACACCTGTGGTTAGTGGCTGAAGAGTTATTAACCTCTAGATAAATTAACAGAGTTTCATCTCCAGACCACAACAGCCTATCTGGAGATGCGAAGGTGCTACTAAAATATAAAGGGAAAAAAGGTGTTCTCAGGACGAAAATCCACAGCAACCTACATGATTCAAGCAGCATGTATGAAACTATTGATGAAATAAAAGGCTGTAAAATAATTCAGGAACACAATGAGTACAAACCTGGTAAAGGAAACCAGCAGAGTAAATCAGTTAAGCAAAAGCCTTCACTCTGGAGTGATTCAGCCAAAGCAACAGAGTCCCCACGATCACTTTAAACTCCAGGTTCACAAGCTGCTCCCCTTCCATACCTGCCCAGCTGCTCTTTGGAGACATAAGGAGGGCTCACAAGCAGACTGTGACACTCATCCCCAGCGCTCCTATGGCAAACAGGAAACCTTAATCTTCCATACCTTACTGAAATGCAGCAACTTTTTATCAAGCTCAAAGGATAACATAGAATCTAACTACATGCAGTGCAGCTCTGTAGAAAACTGAAGGGATTTTCTTGCAAAAGTTCCCTGGCTTGTTTAACAACCATAAGGTGCCCCGGTTTGGTTCCCCGCCTCCCTGGGGACACGGGGCACCGCTCGTACAGTGGTTCTCACCATCTGCCAGCGCGAGGTTTGACCAGCTCTGCTCGGGCCTGCAATGCTCTTGCATTACCTGCTGCAGCACCAAGCGACTCCAGAGCTGATGCAGCCAGACTTGCGGAACAAGAGAGAGCAGCTAGAAAGGCCAGCAGAGGATGGACGGCTGCAAAGGGAAGGAAATGGCACATACATTCAATTTTTCACCCTTTTATAAATAAATGAACCATCAAAACCACTGACAAGTGTGAAAACAGAACAGTTACAACTTGGTCAACATCACAAACCTAGTTAATAGGATCTGAACTAAAACGCTGTCAGCCGACATAACGATTTGTTGTGCAACAGCTAAATGCCTAGCAACAACTTCCAGCCTACAAAGCATGAACTGAAGGGGAAGAAAAGCTGGAAGAGTCAGATACACCAACTAGAAAATTCAGGATCAGAGGAGAAGCTAAATGTGCAGCTAGCTTCACAGCACGCGCTGCGTGTAGCTACATCTAAGAAGGGCTCAATAATTCGACCTCAGGCAGAGCCTCTGGACAGCAAACAGTGAAGGAAGATAGGAATACAGCAGGGGTAGCTATTTTTTCATTTGCAGGAGGGTATGTGTTTTTAAATACCAAGAGGCAGACAGCTATGTCAGCACTTCTGGAATGTGGGGTGAGCGCACGCTTCACAGGCACAGGTGCCAGGGCAAAGCTACATGGAAAAAGGACAAGTACTCTTTCTGGATAAAATAAGGTATTTGCAGCGCACCAGAAATCACAAAGTGAGAAATGAAAAGGACTACAACACCCTGTTTTAAGGGCAGATCTGCCAGCAATAACAGACGTAACAGATAAGTTGCTGAACAACAAGCTTACGTGAGACAGAGGACTGACTCCTGTTCTAAAATTGGCATACCTCTAGAGTAAATCTGGAGTACAGCCTGAGCCGTTCTGGCACACAAAGGAGAAGGCAGATCCTCAGTGCTAGCTCCATCGAGGGCCAGGATTTAATTTGTCCTAGCGGTCACTACTGAGGCCAGGGCAGTTTACTCCCGCTAAGGGTCTTCCTCTCGTGCTTTCCTTGTTACGGGACTTGGCAGTAGCATGCTAAGATTATTAGTAATATTTATATCCTGGGCTACGCTTTTATTCCCAAGAGACCAGAAAAGGTTATTCAGTCATTTGCAGTCTCTGTCCCCTTCCATCAGGGCATGCTAAATCTTTGCAGAAAAATAAAATGCTGTTAAATGTGGCATTAATTAAGTGAAGGATAATCATGATTTTCTTTTATGTTGAGAACTTTGAGGCACTCTGCCATATGTTTATTCTTTCCTCTCTGCTATAACTCAACAGTAAAAAACCCTGCATAATTTACAAGTGTTAATAAAAATACATAAATGTTTTCATAATTGTTTGAAAGTTACAGCATAATCAACTTTGCAGCACAACCAGATCATAGTCAGGGAGAAACATTTCCACAGCAATTTCTGATGCAGCATTTCCAGTTTTAAAATTATGCTTATCATAACTTTATTTCTTTTTATTGTAACATATGAGTATGCCCCATAAAAACTCAATACTAATATGAAATCTCTAGCATTCTCCTTTTGTGGAGTAAAAGCTTCACTTGAGATTGAATTTATCATTTTACTATTCAAAGCCTGACTTATTTAAAGTAGGTAGAGGTTAACATTTGGTGGTTTTGTCCTGTATTTTGCAGGAAATGGTGAGCTTTTTCATGTTAACAATGGTAAACGTCCTTCTCACAGCACACGGCATAGCTTTTGCCTTGTTTTTCTGAAGTAGAGACACACTAAAATTACCTTTTAAAATATATTTTAGAGATGAATTTCCTCTTCCAAGAACATTTTCTTTCCAGCTCATGCAAATTCTGCAGCTTTATACCAAGGTCTTCAGTTCAAACAAGGCAGAAGTGAGAAAGCCACTCCTTCACAGCAGTCTTCATGCACACAGTATCCATGCATCACTTGCATGGATAAGCACATCAAGTTCACCTGTCTAATCTTCCCCAGCCTAGCAACAGAATCAGGGTTGCAATATAAATGACAATATTAATTTAGACAAGCAAAGAGATTGAAATTCAAATTAAACGTGTAAATTTACAGAAAAACAAAAAAAACCAGATCAGTTTGCAGGGATGTTTGAATCATTTAGCATTATGGCATTATTTCAGTATTCCTTCTGCAGCGCTGGTGGTTCCACGGGGGAGGGGGCCACTTTTGTTCAGGCAACAAATTCCATGCAAGAGAGATGTCCTCATTTGCCAGTGAAAGGTTTGCATCCTTATGGAGACAGTCGATGGACTCCAGGCAAAAGCCGCTCTGACTCTTCCATTCTCAAGAGGAAGAACGCACTTGGGACCAAAGTGACTTCCCCTCGACTGCCTCGTCCTGGGAAACGGATGGCGCAGGGCACCTTTGGGGCCACAGGGGATGAGCAGCCCTGAGGGAAACAACAGAAATGAAACTCCAGCAGGAACAGCAAAGGGAAGAGCCACTATCCCTCACCCCATGTGGACACACACACACACCTTCACTCATCTCACCACGCATGGGGCCAGATGAGCCAGCCGCACAAGGGCACACAGCAGTGCAGGTCCACACTGTGCAGTGACTCTCAGCCCAGCTAAAGATTTCCTCAACACACTGGCAAGGGGATGGACAGGCAAATAAGCATATCTTTTCACAAGGGCCTAATTTGAAGCCTCCCACTACAATAGCTTTCGGTGGCCTGCCAGGGGCAGCCCTGCTGTGAAAAGCAGGTTTTTCACCTTTCCACAAAGGCTTGCTGGGGACGGCTGAAGTTGGGAACATGCTTGGCCTGCTCTCAGTCCCCTTCCCCACTGCAGGAAACACCCCCTCAACATGCACACGCACTAACCACTGACCCGGGCGGTCCAGAGCTGGATTGCTCCAGGCCAAGCAAATTTTCATGCCAGAAATCCCAAATAGCCAGCATTCAGCAGAGCCACGCGCAAACGTGCAGGTTGGCCGCTCGGCCACACAGCAACACTTGCTGACTTGGCGACAAAAAAAACCTACAAACCGCAGAAGTAAAAATATTCCACCAAAATTCTGCAAGGTCTGCAGGTCGACTTTAGCCAGGCTGCTGCTTTGGCCGCCCCCTCAGCACCAAGGCAATGCGGGACGGAGAAAGGTTCGATTATTCCAAAATACTGAGCTACACGGAAAGGAAGACAGAACAGACTTCCAGACGGGATCAGGATCAAAACAGAAAGTAAATGCCACGCCACATCAAGAGAAGGTACACGTGGCAGCCTGACTGATGGCACCAGATAAAATCCTAAATGAAAGAAAACAAGTTAATTAAATCCAGAATGCCTTACCAGGGACAAAAGAGGGGACATTGATTACGGCAGGTATATTCTAAGCTCCCAACGATGGCCATTTGCTTCCTCACCATGAAAAACAGCACAGTGTTAACACTTCCGCTTTCAGACTCATTAGCTGAACAGGCAGCATACCAATCTGGAGCAGGAATAGCTTACATTAAAAACTAAAAACAATCCATACATTATGACAAAAGCATTTCTTTTAGCCGCTTATCTTTATACAGTTTCTCCTGCTTTTCAGTAAAAATATATAAATAAAGCTCTCCTATTGTGCAGCAGAACTCCCCAACTGGAGTCGCTGCTCTACCTACGTAATCAAAGTGCCATCTTGTGTTCATACAGAGAGGTCCAGGGAAGAATTTCCTCTTCATTTTTCATCAAAATACCAGGTCCTTCTTACCATGAAAATGTCTATAGAATGTTTTGGTCTTTTAATACTGAGTTAATTGCATATTTAAATGCCAGGAAAGCCATTTAATAATAAATATAGCTGCACTTTTTATAAACGCGAATGGCATACTCAATAAATTCTTGGCACCTACCTCGCACAATCACTGTAAAATACAGGCTACCGTGTACTGTAGATGCAAACTGATTTTAAAGCGCAGACGGCAAACATCTATAGCCACATCATGCTGAGTGGCACCAATGGGAGCCATTCCCGGGACACCGGGTCGGACAGGGTGCTCCGCTACAGCGGCGAGCACCCACAAAACACTTGTGACACTCGCACCAACGCACCCCGCGCGGGATTACCTCTTCAGCAGCTGGCCAACGGGTCTGCAAGTACTCCAGCAGTAGTGCTAACGGCTTTGAAGGGTTGAGCTGATTAAACATGATATCAAAGTATAACAAGTAAACGTTACCATTACGGGTTTTGCTAAACAGAAATTCAAGGCATTTACCTTTGACTATATCCCACTCCATCCCCTCCTATTTCAAAGCAGGTATGGTTGTGCTAATCTTTACTTCCTTCATCCCTCTACCCACCACACAAGAGGCTGCATTTCAGGATAATTAGAACTGCGTGAAATTTTTATTCTGCAGATGGGAATCAGGGGAAGGCAGAGGGGGGAGCTGGAAATTGGGTATCTGCAGAAAAAGTTATGCTTTTTGACAACACTAAACCATTAAGGAATCAAAATCAGAGTCCCTAAAAAGGCACAGCTGAGATAAATTAAAAACTCTTAAAAGTTAGTGTTCCATCTTCAGGTTTTCACAATGATATATCTAAAAACTTTTAATATTTAATAATTTAGCTACATTTTAATGGGAAGAGAGATAAACAAAATCAGAATTCAGCTTTTCAGTTTGGATTAAAGTAAAAACTTTAGTCAAATCAAAAGGATTATATTTCTGTTGTTCGCTTTTGCCAAAATACTAACCAAAGGCTATCTTGGTAATAACATTTTTTTCCCCTCAGTCTGGGCATAAAACCTAGAAATACATTTATTCTCACAACACTCATTAGCATATATATATTCTCAGCTCTGTTCTTCTCTCTTTATACTGAGTAGTAAAATTCCTATTGACTTGAATAGAGATTGTCCATACCCTTCACTTGTAACCCACTTTGAACTTGTAACTCCATTTGAACAAATGTGTTTTTACACACCCACATGAACACAATAGTCAATAATTCCTTCTCAACTCACCTTCGAAAATGCAATATTGTGAATAACGTTATTATGGTTTTTGTTTTTTTTTAATAAATTCATCTACAGCACAAAACCTTTCCTCGCTGACTTATTGAAAAAGTAAAGGGTATGCTCACACTCACTGTGTTCAGACTATTGGACTTTAGAGCAGCTTAATCAGGATAAGTCATAGCCTCAGCTGGCCTGCATCCACTGGCTTCAGTGTCCAGGTCCCCAGTCCACCACTGGCACCACGACTTCTCTCAGTCTCACCATCCACAGAGCACTGAAACAACCGTTAGAAATCAGAATTCCCTTTTCTCTTTGATTCTATGATAAAATTTACCACTATTTTATGAATGAAATGAAAATCTAATGCTCTGACCAAGTGCACAAAAATGTTGCTTGTGAAAAAAGTGCAATGGAAGTATGAAATTGTGCAGGTATGTGCACCCTCATTTATTTTAGAATCAGGCAGCCTTTGCTTCCAACATTTGCTCTAAGATTATTTGCAGTGAATTACTTAAATTATTGAAAATTTTTCCTTCTCCTAAAAATATACAGACTTGTATGAACACCGTCTTTAAGTACAGCCAAAAGAAAAATGCAAGAAGAAAAACAGGAAGGGGAACTAAACTGATGCCTGTAAAAAGGTTACTGTATGATGTTCGTAGGCCTATGTCATGCATGATATCAGATTAGATGAAGTTTATGATCCCTTTTCACTTAAAAACCTATTAACAAACACAAGTTTCAGATTTGTGGAGAATTAAAAAAAATTTGAACACAAATGACTAATGGAAAAAATATGTGCTGCATACAGTCTTATAAAGTCTTCATATACATGACTCTTACAGAAACTTTGAAAAATTATACGTAAGAAAGATAAGTGCCCGTGCTTTCTTTGACCATCCTTGCATGTCATTATGGTAAAGGGCAAGGAGGTAGATTTGTTCCCTAAGCAGTAACGTTTTCAGAGCAGTTTTCAAGGACTAGCTTAGAAGACCCCTCTCAAGCATAAATCATACGTAAAGCAGCATCACAAATTAGGTGATGTACGGTACCAGTTACCAACTGGCCACAGAGACAGGGATGCCCATATAGTTGAGGGGCTCTCAGAGAGCTAAAATCAGGGAAGCAGCACCCAGTAATATCCCACCTAACCTCTCAGTGCATAACCACTGGACACCATTGGCAGTGACATGTTTTGGTGCGGAGTGATTTCTCAAAGGGTACAAAACTTGTCCTTCAGTCCTGCCTGGAGTCCTGCCCCTTGTGCAGCCACTTGCATTTTTGCTTCTACAGCTTTACCTTTTTACACACAGCAACCAGGAATTGAAGGCAGTGCAGCGCTTTTACCAAGCATAGTGTTATGTTTCGTCACATCACATGGGATTTGAGCCAAAACCTGCTGAAATAACTGGAACGGCTCCCTCTGACTTGAGCGGGTTTTGAATCAGGTGCACATCTCAGTAGGTTTCTCAAGTTCCAATACACGGCTTGTCTTTTGTGACCGCATCAAGCTTTTATTCCCTCTACAGAGCAGGTATCTGCTCCTGATAATACAAGATCAACAGGCAAAACTCCACAGAAAGAGCCAGGTAGCGTTGATGCTTTCTTTTGGACAAAGGCTTCTCTTTTCTAAAGAAATAGCACTTAAGAGTTTTATCCAACTTCATTTCAGGTCAGCAACAATATCCCCATAAAATTGGCACTCTGCCTTGGGAGACAGCGTAATGCCGTGTCGAGGAGAGGAAGATAGGAAATGTGCAACGGCAATCAGAGCAGGTATTACTTATTAGAAGAGAAGAGCTTTTTACTGTTATTGTGCCACAGCTCTCAAACTCAACTCATATTTAGGAGTCTAGCCAAGCTGTTAAAGCACAGACATCGCAACTCTCCATGGACTCGCACAGCACACAGAAGGGACATGTCCGCCATATAGACACATGCAAGCACAGGGCAGAGAAAGAGCAGGATTCAGCATAGTACTGGGTCCAGTTCTGGCATGGGCATTATTTTGAATTGGAAGATTAAAAATAATTTGAGAAAATAAAGGAAATTCAGACTGAATACGAGAGAAACATGCCAGACTGACAACAATACTATGAAATAGTCTGGAAAAACAAAAGTGATCCTGTTGCTCGGATGCAATGAGTGGAACAGCTACAAGAAGTAGTTCTTGCATTGATACAGGAACGGATGAAAGGAAATAATAAAGTTTTCAAGCGTTGGTCACAGATGCTGCACTGAGTACAGAAATGGTTGTCATTTCTGTTCCAAAGCCACTGTATGCATCCTTGGGCTGGATGGCTTTTACATCTCATCTCATCTGTATTAAATCTCATCTGTATTAAATTTTGCTAGGGCCTCCTACCCTGTATCTCACCTGCCCTCAGCAGCCATGCAGCTGAAGCCATTACTCCCATCGGGTGCCTTTTGTGTCAGCCAACCTACCACCAAGCACATAAGTGCCACATCACATTCCCAGAGCTACGATGCCTGCGCCCCAGAGCCGGGGGAGCCCGGGACAGGATGAACTCCAGAAGTGGCTCATACACAATCTTTCATAGCAAGGGCATGGCAAAATAAGCACTCAGAAGTGCAAAGTGACACAGCCCTGACATGGGATCCGCCTGGAGTTCAGAAGCCACCACTGGTTACCTCTAATCCACAACAACAAAACCACACTGAAGCAATTTTATCTTACCTAACAAATAAATCCATTCCCAGATCGTTTTCTAGTGTTTAAGAAAAGTCATGAAGAGTGAAGCTCAGCTGAATTCAGGAAAATAATCTCTCAATGAACCTTAGACTTATATTAGGATGGATAAGGTTAATATTTTTTCAGACTATAAAGTAACAACCAACTATATACTTTACTGAGTTTCTTCACTCATAACTGAAAACATAATTCATAACAGGAATGCTATGGTCCTGAAAAATTACATGTTAGGACTAGTTGTGATAAATCTATAACATTTAATTAGGAGAAGTAAGAGAAAGTTGAATTTTAGATCCACATATGACAATATATGTCAAGTAGCATGTGCTCTACTCAGATACAAGTTCATTGCTGCTTCTCCCTACTCTACATACTATTTCTCCTCATTTTGTACATATGGAACAGAATATATCCCTAATTTTACATATCCATAACAGATATAAACTATAGGATATTGTCCTGTTTTCTTCCCAGTAAAATCAAAATGCTCTGGAATGCTCCAGTTTTCATATAAATTCCCCCCGACATATCCTTCTCCAGACCGGGTCTCCCACCCACCCTTCCAGTGACAGCTTCCCCCAAATACAAACTGCAGATCTAGGCAGGAGCTTTTCATACAGCAGAACCAAGATAACACAGACTTACTGGAGACCTGTTCCATTTTCTTCATGTACAACCTGAACAAAATCAGAGGGAAACTAAGGAATGATTTAAAATAGAATTGAAAGACAAAACTGACAATTATTTTAGCACAGGTTTCATTGAATGTGCAAATCACTACATAATAATTGTTGAAACAATGACAGCTGAAAGACCAAATAAAATCAAGGACTTACAGATCACACATATTTTTCAAGAAACAGCATTTGTAGTGTTTGCTTTTAAAACCAGTAATCTTTTACGTCCGAAGAAAAGATGCTTCCTACCTGTAAACCTAAATGGTATAATAATAATAAATCCTTCCATCCTGGAAAAAAATATCCTTAATCCTTTTAATAGTCCTTCTACAGTAAATGAAATCTCTTAGGATTAAAGTACTACTTGCTACTCACATTACAAGGTCGCAAATAGAACAAGGCTAATTGTAATTCACTGAAAGAATGTGCATTTCCAGTGCATTTGTGTATCTGTCTGCGTGTGCATTTCCAGTGGGTGCATAACTGAGTGCTTATAATGTGGATGCCCCCCTTCCACTTAAGAATTAGGAAAATATTTTAAAATTCTTAAAAATGTTGAAGTCTGTTGATTAGTGTAACTGACTTGCAACATTACTTTTTATCTACCTTCTTTTAGTAGCACATTGAATTCATTTTTGGTTATAATAATCCCATCACTCCTTTGCTGAGAACAGGTGCCCCAGATATGTTTCTTTCTATTTTCTTCCTAATTCTGCCAAATGAAGCTCTACACTCTCTGCCTGTGACTAGGAGTGACAGACTGACAGGTGTTGTCAGCAAGGTGCCTAATGACTGCGAGATTTGTTTGTCTTTTAATGGAATTCAATAAGGCATAAAAGAAAGACAAAGCAGCAGCATGTGCAGCTTGAGGAAGTCTTTGGCAAGTCATCCTTGCAAAATGTAAAACCCTTGAATATTTTGATTAGGCAATAAAAAAGCATTGTCTATACAGTTGTTTTTTAATATGCTGTCACAGACCTGATTACTTATCACCACTCAGAAAGAGT